TTTCGCTTTTTTATTTTTGCGTTTCTTGGATTTTTCGATTTTTCGAAATCTCGATTTCTAATTTTTATTTTTCGATTTCCGACTTATAGATTTTCAAATTTTCGGTTCTCCGATTTGTCGTTTTTCTAATATTTGATTCAACGAATTTTCGATTTTTGGTAATTCAAATTTAAAATTGTTTCTTTTTCGATTTCCCGATTTTTAAATTTTTCAATTCGCCGATTTTTCAAATTTTCGATTTTTGATTTTTTGAATTTTCGATTTTGCAATTTTTCTGTTTTAGAATTTTCGATTATTCAGCTTTCGATATTTCGCTTTTTTAATTTTTCGTTTCTTGGATTTTTCGATTTTTCGAAATCTGGATTTAGAATTTTTATTTTTCGATTTCCCGATTTTTCAATTTTTCCATTTTTCGATTTTAGAATTTTCGATTTTTCAACTTTCGATATTTCGCTTTTTTATTTTTGCTTTTCCTGGAGTTTCCGATTTTTCGAAATCTCGATTTCTAATTTTTATTTTTCGATTTCCGACTTATAGATTGTCAAATTTTCGGTTTTCCGATTTGTCGTTTTTGATTCAACGAATTTTCGATTTTTGGTAATTCAAATTTCCAAATTGTTTCTGTTTTGATTTCCCAATTTTTAAATTTTTCAATTCGCCGATTTTTCAAATTTTCGATTTTTGATTTTTTGAATTTTCGATTTTGCAATTTTTCTGTTTTAGAATTTTCGATTATTCAGCTTTCGATATTTCGCTTTTTTATTTTTTCGTTTCTTGGACTTTTCCATTTTTCGAAATCTCGATTTAGAATTTTTATTTTTCCATTTCAATTTTTTTTTCGTTTTCCCGGTTTTTCAATTTTTCCATTTTTCGATTTTAGAATTTTGAATTTTCAACTTTCGATATTTCGCTTTTTGATTTTTGCGTTTCTCGGAGTTTTCGATTTTTCGAAATCTTAATTCTAATTTTTATTTTTCGATTTCCGATTTATAGATTTTGAAATTTTCGGTTTTCCGATTTGTCGTTTTTTTATTTGATTATTTTTTTCAACGAATTTTCGATTTTTGGTAATCCAAATTGTTTCTTTTTCGATTTCCCGATTTTAAAATTTTTCATTTCCCCGATTTTTCAAATTTTCGATTTTTGATTATCTGAATTTTCGATTTTGCAATTTTTCTGTTTTGGATTTCCCGATTTTTAAATTTTTCAATTCGCCGATTTTTCAAATTTTCGATTTTTGGTTTTTTGAATTTTCGATTTTGCACTTTTTCTGTTTTAGAATTTTGATTATTCAACTTCCGATATTTCGCTTTTTTATTTTTGCGTTTCTTGGAGTTTGCGATTTTTTGAAATCTTGATTTCTAATTTTTATTTTTCGATTTCCGACTTATGGATTTTCAAATTTTCGGTTTTCCGATTTGTCGTTTTTCTAATATTTGTTTCAACGAATTTTCGATTTTTGGTAATTCTAATTTCCAAATTGTTTCTTGTTCGATTTCCCGATTTCTAAAATTTTCAATTCGCCGATTTTTCAAATTTTCGATTTTTGATTTTTTGAATTTTCGATTTTGCAAATTTTCTGTTTTAGAATTTTCGATTTTTGATTTTTTGAATTTTCGATTTTGCAATTTTTCGGTTTTAGAATTTTCGATATTTCGCTTTTTTATTTTTTCGTTTCTTGGATTTTTCCATTTTTCGAAATCTCGATTTCTAATTTTTATTTTTCGATTTCCGATTTACAGATTTTCGAATTTTCGGTTTTCTGATTTGTTGTTTTTCGAGCATTTGATTCAACAAATTCTCGATTTTTCGTAATTCAAATTTTCAATTTGTTTCTTTTTCGATTTCCCGATTTTTCAATTTTTCCATTTTTCGATTTTAGAATTTTCGATTTTTCAACTTTCGAAAATTGAAAAAACGAAAATTATAAAAACCGGAAAGTCGAAAAATTGAGAAATTGAAAAAAGCGAAAAGTAAAAAATTGAAAAATTCGAACTTCCAACAATGAACAAATCGAATATCGAAAATCGAAAATTCAAAAATCCAAAAAAAATTGCGAAAACGAAAATCGAGTGACCTAAAATTCTAGAAGTCGTAATATCGAAAATCGAGAATTCGATAAATCAACTGTTCGAAACAAATCGGAAAACCAAAAATTCGAAAACCTATAAATCGGAAATGGAAAAACCGAAATATCAAAAAATCGAAATCGAGATTTCGAAAAATCGATAAATCCAAGAAACGAAAAATAAAAAACAAATATCGAAAGTTGAATAATCGAAAAAACCCTAAAATCGAAAAATCGAGAAATCAAAAAGCAAACGACCTGAAAATTCTAATACTGAAAACTCGAAGAATCGAAATGTAGAAAAAACGATATATCGAAAGTCGAAAAACTGGAAATTCGAAAAATGGAAAAACTGAAAAATCGAGAAATTGAAAATCGAATATCCAAAAATTGAAAATTCGAAATATAGAAAATTGAAAAATCAAGGATTAGAAAAAGCGAAAAGTAAAAACATATAATATTCGAATTTCCAACAATGAACAAATCGAAAATCGAAAAATCAGAATTTCAAAAATCGAAAAAAAAATTGAGAAAACGAAAATCCAGTGACTTAAAATTCGAAAAGTCAAAATATCAAAAATTGAGAATTCGATGAACCAATGTTCGAAAAACGACAAATCGGAAAACCGATAATTTGAAGATCAATAGATAGGAAATCGAAAAACCGAAAAATAACAAATTCGAAATCGAAATTTCGAAAAATCGAAAAATCCAAAATACAAAAAAATAAAAAAGCGAAATATCGAAAGCTGAATAATCGAAAATTCTAAAATCGAAAAATCGAGAAATCAAAAAGGAAACGAATTGAAAATTTGAATACTCAAAAATCGAAGAATTGTAATGTAGAAAAAACGAAACATCGAAAGTCGAAAAATAGAAAATTCTAAAGACGAAAAATTGATAAATGGAAAAGCTGAAAAACCGAAAAATCAAAATTTAAGAAAATGAAAATTCGAATATACAAAAATCGGAAATTCGAAAATAGAAAAGTTGAAAAATGAAAAAACGAGAATTCGAAAAAAATGAAAATTCGAATTTTGAACAATGAACAAATCGAAAACCGAAAAACCGAAAAAATCGAAAATCCAAAAATCGAAAAAAAATTGAAAATTCGATTAATCAAATGTTCGAAAAACGACAAATCGGAAAACCGAAAAAATGAAAGTCTATAAATCGGAAATGGAAAAACCGAAAAATAAAAAAAATCGTAATCGAGATTTCGAAAAATCGATAAATCCAAGAAACGAAAAAATAAAAAGCGAAATATCGAAAGTTGAATAATCGAAAATTCTAAAATCGAAAAATCGATAAATCAAAAAGTAAACGACCTGAAAATTCGAATACTGAAAAGTCGAAAAATGGAAAAACTGAAAAATCGAGAAATTGAAATTAAAAAAATTGAAAATCCAATATCCAAAGATTGAAAATTCGAAGTATAAAAAATTGAAAAATCAAGGATTAGAAAAAGCGAAAAGTAAAAACATTTAATATTCGAATTTCCAACAATGAACAAATCGAAAATCGAAAAACTGGAAATCAGAAGTCCAAAAATCAAAAAAAAAAAAAAAATTGAGAAAACGAAAATCGAGTGATTTAAAATTCGAAAAGTCAAAATATCGAAAATTGAGAATTCGATGAACCAATGTTTGAAAAACGACAAATCGGAAAACCGAAAATTTGAAGATCTATTGATAGGAAATCGAAAAACCGAAAAATAACAAACTCGAAATCGAAATTTCGAAAAATCGAAAAATCCAAGAAACGAAAAAATAAAAAAGCGAAATATCGAAAGCTGAATAATCGAAAATTCTAAAAACGAAAAATCGAGAAATCAAAATGAAAATTTAAATACTCAAAAATCGAATAATTGAAATGTCGAAAAAAACGAAATATCGAAAGTCGAAAAAAGAAATTTCCAAAGACGAAAAATCGAAAAATGGAAAAGCTGAAAAATCGAGAAATCAAAATTTAAAAAAATGAAAATTAGAATATCCAAAAATCAAAAATTTTTTTAACCTGATGTGACTGATATGATTCAACTTTACTTGATCTGATTTGATCTGGCTTGACATGATTTCTTTATTCACGTAAGAAAAATTTTCAAAGTTGATATTCTCTAAAAATGTAGAAGCTGAGAGATAAGAATAAGAATGTAGTAACTAATGGCTCATTTTTTTCCATTTTTAATATTGTTTTTTTTTTAATTTGCGTTTTGAAGTTAATTACAAAAATGTAACTTACTATACTGTAGGTTGACTATTAAGTGGAAACGGATCGACCTATATTAGAAATTCAATCTCTGCCTCATCCAGTAATAAATTTCAATCTTATACTTTACTGGATTATCAGAATCAATATTAGTCTCACGTTGCGCCAGAGATAAAAAAAATACGACGAACGATATGTCTAGTCTGGTGAAAATAGTTAAAATCGAATAAAGATTTAACTTCGATGGAATTTTATCGACGTAAATATTGCCTGTTATTGCAATAATTTATCAACATAATTGTGACATTTCTCAATAAAAAAGTATTAATTAAAGTGTAGGTGATTTAGAAAAACTTAAAAACAGATAATAAAATAAAAACAACATCGTTGATATTATTGTATTGTTTTCAACATGTCATTGTATTTGGCTTTTACTCAGTGGGAATGTTGCAATTAATAATATGGACATATTGAGGAAGTGGTTCAACATTTTTTGTGCATTCTTTTCACATCCCTCCCCCACCACTTCTCTTCTCTCCTTTCCTTCCTCCCGTCTTCCTTCTCTCCCGTGTCCTCTCCGTTCCCCATCGCAATCGCCTTCGAATTCCCGCCCGTTCGAAATCGATCGATCTCGGCGTCCGGGGCGCCGCGACGCGCAGCGTCGCTCGATATTTTTGGGGGGCGCAGCTTTCGCTTTTAAACGCACACACGCTCGCCAGTCGTCTCCGGCCGCTCCTAACCCACATTCGCGGAAAGGGGCGTGCGACGACGGCGGCGGCGGAGGCGGCGATGACGAGCCCGCCCGCCCGACACGCGAAAAACCGATGACGTGCTCGTGCTGTTCAGCAACCGCCGACGACGAGATGTTCTGCGTTAACTTCGCCAAAGTCAGTGGTGGCGGCGGCGCGACGCCTCCGAAGGGGGCGGTTCCGCATACTCTGTGTTGTGTGGCGTTTGTTGTTCTTTTGTTTGGTGGCTGTTGCTCGCGCGACCCTCAGATAACACGTAGGGAATGCGAGAGGAATGCGCCTTCGCTCGATGCCAAGAATTTTCGTAGGATTTTTGCCGGTCGGAGGGGTCACGTGGGGTTGGCGGTTTTTCGGAATTGTGATGATTGGCGGGCGATGAGCGGGAGCGGCGTCGGGAGCGGCGTCGGAAGCGGCACACTTAGAGGTCGGCTGGGACGGAGCCAAGTTTTTTGCGGATGAACGAAGACGTTCTTTCGAGTTGTTGCATATGGGGCATTCCGGGGCTGGTGGCGGGTTGGAGGGGACGGTGGCTGGTTTTTAGCACAGTTTGCAGAGTGCGTCCATGGGGTGAGCAGACTTGATTTTTTAATATTTTTTTTCACTGAATTTAAAATATTATCTACAAAAAAGTGGTTCAATTAATTTTTTTATTATTATTTTTTTCTAACTTTTATTAATTTGTTGCCTCGTATAAAAAATTCGCATCGTCATTTTATTGTGGTTAATTCCACGATGAAAAAATATCGCGTTATTATTCATATCAGTTTGTAGTACGTAAAGTTTTAGAGCGATGATCTAATGCAACTAGTGTCAAATTTCGTTGAAGCTGCTATAGATCCAAGAGCAACAATGTGGTTTAAGTTTCTGATATTGAAAATAACTCAGTGTCAAGATTTCCGTTCTGTATCGATTTCCGCACTCAACGTCTTGCTCGCTACGCGAACTTATGTTAATTGTTTTCCGTGAAGGACTTATTTGATATTTGTGCCGTTTTACTGCTTTACGTAAGATAAGCTTAAAAAAAACGAAATTTGTACAAAGAAATTTTACAGTTAAAATTTGTTTATTATTTATTTCCCCCAGAAAGTTAATGACGTCATCTCAGAATTATTATGATTAATTAAATACATGTTTCTTGAAATTGAAGAAGCTGGACGATATAATGTCTTTTTTTATATTCTATGTATTAATTGTGTCCAATGATGTCTTTGGATTTATGAAAATTGTGTAAATATACAGGGTGAGATAGAAAAAAATCAAAGACTAAAGTTCTACGGTATTCTGTTTTTAAGGCGTAACACACTTACCCTTATTGTAATCGAGTCCATTGGGCGACTGGCCACTTTTACGTTTTCTCGACGTTTCATGACTCCGAGTCTCTGTCCACTGGACCAATTATTGTTAAATTTTATATGTGTATTAGGATTATTGTGTAGGTAAAACGCTAACCAAAATTTACCTAATTATCCCCACCAAGAATAGAATGACGTCATCTTCAAAATTTACATTAGTGAATGTTATTTAAATTTTTCGGATTTGTCGTTTTTCGCAAATTTGCTTCATCGAATTGTCGATTTTCTATATTTCGACTTTTCTAATTTTAGAACTTTCGATTTTCGTTTTCTCATTTTTTTTTAGATTTTTGGATTTTTGATTTTTTGTTTTTCGATTTTCGATTTGTTCATTCAAAATTCGATTTTCAATTTTTTTAATTTCGACTTTTCAATTTTTCAATTCGTTTCCTTTTTGATTTCTCGATTATTCGATTTTAGAATTTTCGATTATTCAGTTTCCAATATTTCGGTTTTTTGTTTTTTTCATTTTTTGGATGTTTGGATTTTTCATCATCTCGATTTCGAATTTTTTATTTTTCGGCCTTTCGATTTCCGATTTATAGATTTTCGAATATTTGATTCAACGAATTTTCGATTTATCGTAACTCAAATTTTGGATTTGTTGCTTTTTCGATTTCCCGATTTTTCAATTTTCCAATTCGTTGATTTTTTAAATTTTCGATTTTTCAATTTTTCTATTCTTCAATTTGTAGACCTCAATTTTTTTACTTTTCATTTTTTTATTTCTTGAGTTCTCGATTTTCGATCTGTTCATTGTTCGAAATTCGACTTTTCAATTTTTTTTTACTTTTCGCTTTTCCAATTTCTCAATTTTTCAATTTTTCGACTTTCCGTTTTTTCGAATTCTCACTTTTTCAATTTTCAATTTTTCGATATTTTGAATGTTCTATTATTATTCAGCTTCCAATATTTCGCTTTTTTATTTTTTTCGTTTTTTGGATGTTTGGATTTTTTGAAATCTCGATTTCGAATTTTTTATTTTTCGGTTTTTCGATTTCCGATTTATAGATTTTCGATTTATCGTAACTCAAATTTTCAATTTGTTTTTTTCCAATTTCCCGATTTTTCAATTTTCCAATTCGTTGATTTTTTAAATTTTAGATTTTTCTATTTTTCCATTTATTAATTTGTAGACTTCAATTTTTTTACTTTTCAAAATTTATTTCATGAGTTTTCGATTTTCGAGCTGTTCATTGTTCGAAATTCGACTTTTCAATTTTTTTTATTTTTCGTTTTTTCAATTTTCAATTTTTCGATATTTCGATTTTTCTGTTATTCAGCTCTCAATATTTCGTTTTTTTAATTTTTTCGTTTTTGGATTTTTCGATTTTTACAATTCTCGATTTTTTATTTTTCGGAAGATTTGATTCATCGAATTTTCAATTTTTTTTTCGATTTTTGGATTTCCAAATTTTTCGGTTTTTCGGTGTTCGATTTGTTCTTCTTCGAAATTCGACTTTTCAATTTTTTTTAATTTTAGTTTTTTCAAGTTCTCAAATTTTCAATTTTTCGACTTCCCATTTTTTTCAATTTTCGACTTCTCGATATTTCGAATTTTCGGTTTTTCAAATTTTCATTTTTTTAAATTTTGATTTCTCCATTTTTCAGCTTTTCCATTTTTCGATTTTTCGTCTTTGGAAATTTCTTTTTTCGACTTTCGATATTTCGTTTTCTTCGACATTTCAATTATTCGATTTTTGAGTATTTGAATTTTCATTTTGATTTCTCGATTTTTCGTTTTTAGAATTTTCGATTATTCAGCTTTCGATATTTCGCTTTTTTATTTTTTCGTTTCTTGGATTTTTCGATTTTTCGAAATTTCGAATTCGAGTTTGTTATTTTCCGGTTTTTCGATTTCATATCTATAGATCTTCAAAATTTTCGATTTTCCGATTTGTCGTTTTTCGAACATTGGTTCATCGAATTCTCAATTTTCGATATTTTGACTTTTCGAATTTTAAATCACTCGATTTTCGTTTTCTCAATTTTGTTTTCTGATTTCCAGTTTTTCGATTTTCGATTTGTTCACTGTTGGAAATTCGAATATTAAATGTTTTTACTTTTCGCTTTTTCTAATCCTTGATTTTTCAATTTTCTATACTTCGAATTTTCAATCTTTGGATATTCGATTTTCAATTTTTTTAATTTCAATTTCTCGATTTTTCAGTTTTTCCATTTTTCGACTTTTCAGTGTTTGAATTTTCAGGTCTTTTGCTTTTTGATTTCTCGATTTTTCGATTTTAGAATTTTCGATTATTCAGCTTTCGATATTTCGCTTTATTATTTTTTCGTTTCTTGGATTTTTCGATTTTTCTAAATTTCGATTTCGAATTTGTTATTTTTCGGTTTTTCGATTTCCTATCTATTGATCTTCAAATTTTCGGTTTTCCGATTTGTCGTTTTTCGAACATTGGTTCATCGAATTCTCAATTTTCGATATTTTGACTTTTCGAATTTTAAATCATTCGATTTTCGTTTTCTCAAATTTTTTTTTCGATTTTTGGACTTCTGATTTCCAGTTTTTCGATTTTCGATTTGTTCATTGTTGGAAATTCGAATATTAAATGTTTTTACTTTTCGCTTTTTCTAATCCTTGATTTTTCAATTTTCTATACTTCGAATTTTTAATTTTTGGATATTCGATTTTCAATTTTTTTAATTTCAATTTCTCGATTTTTCGGTTTTTCCATTTTTCGACTTTTCAGTTTTTCGACTTTCGATACATCGTTTTTTCTACATTTCGATTCTTCGAGTTTTCAGTATTCGAATTTTCAGGTCGTTTCATTTTTGATTTTTCGATTTTTAGATTTTAGAGTTTTTTCGATTGTTCAACTTTCGATATTTCGTTTTTTTATTTTTTCATTTCTTGGATTTATCGGTTTTCCGATTTGTGGTTTTTCGAACATTTGATTCATCGAATTCTCGATTCTCGATATTACGACTTCTCTAATGTTAGGTCACTAGATATTCGATTTTCGATATTCGATTTCTTCATTGTTGAAAGTTCGAATTTTCAATTTTTTTACTTTTCGCTTTTTCAATTTTTCAATTTTCGACTTTCCGTCTTTTATAATTCTCGTATTTTCAATTTTCGAAATTTTGATTTTCGTGTTTAGAATTTCCGATTTTTCGACTTTTGATATTTCGTTTTTTCTACATTTCGATTCTTGGATTTTTCATTATTCGAATTTTTAATTTGTTTCCTTTTTGATTTCCCGAATTTTAAATTTTTCGATCCTTCGATTTTTCAGTTTTACCATTTTTCGATTTTAGAATTTTCGATTATTCAACTTTCGATGTTTCTCTTTTTTATTTTTTCGTTTCCTGGATTTTCTGATTTTTCGAAATCTCGATTTCGAATTTTTGGTTTCCGATTTATAGATTTTCGAATTTTCGGTTTCGAATATTTGATTCAACAAATTTTCGTAATTCAAATTTTCAATTGGTTTCCTTTTCGATTTCCTGATTTTTCAATTCTTAAAAACAGAAAAACAGAACACTCTGTATAGTTAAAAATAATTTAGAATATAGTCCTCAAATAACCGTACATCTTTGATCCGTGACTTTTTATTATTTCTATTTAATGAGATATCGAGGAACACGTTCTTAGTGATTCACCCTGTATAAATATTATGCAGATAATGAAACGTTAACTATTTTTTTTTAATTATACCCACCAACAGTGGAATGACGTGGTGTTTTGCTTAGTTAATAATAATGTTTAAATTTAATAAAATACCATACTTCTGTACCTGTGTTTGATGAATCCGTCTTGATTTTCAG